CCCCCTCCCTCCCTCCCTCCTCTTCCTCCCTTCACGCGCGCGACCGCGCCAAAAAGCAATGGCGTTTTTGCGAAGCGTGTCGCGGCGATGCTGCGCCGGCAAAAAACTGGCAAAATGCGGCGCTTCAGCGATGCCCGTCGTCGGCCTCCTGGAGAACGCGACGGCAACGGCGACGAGGACACCGTCCCTGCGGCTGGTTACACAGGTGCGCGACACACGCTGCTACGCCACCGCCACCGCCGCCACCACCGCTGCTGACGTCAAGCAGCAGCGGCCGCCGGCGCCGCCTCGGCAGATCGACCCGCTCGATTTGAAGTTTAACGACCCGATCGCCGCGTTCAAGAGCAAGACCACCATGGAGCTGATACGCGCCTACTTAGTATACCAAATGTGCTCCATCGAGTACATCGTGGAGAACAATATGAAGGTGAGATGCGTGTTCCCCGGAGATCCTCGGAGAGTTCCCCTCCGCTCTTTATTTCCGCATAAAAATCTCGTTATTAACGGGACAAGATGAAACTTGTAGATTTTATTATTAATTGATAATGAAATTCTGTAAATTTCGTCGAGTGAAGGAAGCGCAGCGTGATGCGTATACGCGGCGTAGAACGAGAGCGAATTTATTTCCGCGGATTAATTTCGCAAATTTCCACAAACCGATATGGCTGAAAACGTTACTCGAAACGAGCAATTTTCTTTGTCAGAGCGCCTCGGATCCTCTTTCCTGTATGTGTGTCGCAGGTAGAATCGTGATCTACAGAGGAATAATAGCGAAACGTCAGCCGGCTCAGATCGTCCGCTCGATACGGCTTAAATCGCTCCTCCGCACCGCCTCTCACGCGCGCGCGCTTTCCTTTCTTCCTTTAAGGTGCGAGTCTATTTCTCGCATCTTCCCAAGAATAGAAATCGTTAAGAAGAAATACTGCAAAGATGCGAATAAAGAGAGCAGGTAGAAATGCTTCATAAATCTCGTTCTATTAAATTCGAGAATACTTTGAAAAGAGGACCTAGTAACAATTGTCGAAATTTGATGAATACGTTCCAACCAAACGTTCGATTGTCGTAACCAAATTATGAGCCATAATAATAGTCTTTGTATAAGTTAAGAATAGATATTCTCATATATAAGCAAAAATATTATAATCTTCATAGAAGATTTTTAGTCCTGATTTAATTGTATGATGTATTGATGCAAGTATCACTTGAACTTAATTCAAGATTCAAAACCTTCTAAGTAGATTGTAATAATCTTGTTAACTAAATGATTTGGTTACAGTAATCAAACATTTAGTTAAGACATATACACCAAATCATGGTAATTGTTACCAAATATTTTTTTTAGTGTGCGATACTCATCGACTTTCCGATACAACAATCGATTCATGAATTGCTAAAATGTTTTACATGGTCAGATGTGATGAGCGAGTCGCTTTATTTCACAAACTGCGGTCGGTCGTAACGCGACAAATAATGCGCGTCTGGTCGTTTCGGTATCAGAGATTAAAAGCGTCCACTGCACCCCTTTAAAGATCCGCGTCGGGGATACACGCACCTGCGACAGGTGCGTGTACCTGTCGCGCGTGCACTGCGCCGCTCTGAGAGAAATTATAGTTATTTTCGGTGCCAGCAATAATCTTTTAATTATTTATTGAGAAAAAGAAATTGAAATCTTGCGAAATAAATGTTTCTTGTAACATTATTTTTCGATATTTATTAGTTAGAAAGAAATTTGACTGTGATAAAGGTGTATTTTAGTGAAATATATTTGAGTTTTTTTAGTAATTGGTTTATTTGCTAGGAATAAAATTTTACTTCGTCATATTTAAATAGACGTTTATTTCTGTTAAATAAACCTCGTATTTCACAAATTAATTTTTAAGTCTTTTTTCTCAATATAGTAACAACGTGCATGTAAGGTTATTATCACCAATACTACAAAAAATAACACTTGCTAGAAAATTGATTTTCCTGACTATAATTATTTCACTATGATGATTATAGTTGCAAATACCAGATATTTATCTCTCAGTGTACGTATCCTCGGCGAGATGCATGGGTTTATCATTTCCTTCAAAGCTGCTTCGACCAGCGATCCTCGATCGGTTCGACGATCATTTCATTTCCTTCCGCGTTCGCTCAAATAAGAAAAATCACGTGAATCCGACGGTTCATCGCGATCGATCTCGACGGGAAGATCGACGGACGTGAGCTCGGTTCGTGACGAATTCCGCGTTTTTTGGATTTGACGTAATCGTGAGAGATAGATAGATAGAGAGAGGTAGATAGCCGAACGCGCATAATACGCGACACTAACCCCAGGCAACTCGATTTTCCTGATCTGCGTCATGGATTATATTGATCTCTTTAACGCTTTGCACTCGAGGGCTCTGGGGCGGAGCCATTTAAAATTTGTCTTCAAACTCGAGGGCTCCGCTATGGAGACAATGCAAATAACTTTCAGTTCATAACATAAGGACAAAGACAAATCGTAAAAACTATTGTGTATAGGATATTCCGCTTTTGCTATTTGCATTTGAGTTTGAAGAGTTTGAAGACAAATTTTAAATGGCTCCGCTCCGGAGCCCTCGAGTGCAAAGGGTTAATATCTCAAAGCAGGCCCAGAAATCGATTAAGTTCGTTACTCATACATTGAAAGAAGGATTTGATAACAGGGTGGTTTGGGTTGGTACAGGTAAAATTTGCTTAATATATGCCGATCAAATATTTGATTACTGCAACCAAATAATTTAATTCCGTATATTATATATACAGTATTGTAGTTCTATATATTGTAATGTATATTTAGTACACGGAAAATTACCTAATTGCGGTAATCAAATATTTGGTCGGCATATATTAACTAAATTTTAGTTCTTATTACCAAATCCTTTTTTAGTGTAGAAATATAAATCCTCTTTTGTTCTCATTGTCACTTTATATGAATCGCCAATATATTTGAGAAAAAAAAAATGTATTTTATTTATAGGATATAAGATTTATTACACAGGAATAAATCTCATTTCTGCGACATAAATCTTATATCCCATAAATAAATTTTCAAATATTTTCGTTTATTTTCTTTTGTTTACGTAAAAAAAAAGAATTTTTCTCGCGCGTTCACATTATAAATAAATAAACTATATAAAAATTATAGAGAGAGAGAGAAAGAGAGAGAGATCACGCGGAATGAAATCATCATATTCTAAAAGAGAGATAGTAGTGAGAAAAAATCCTCCGTGAAAAAATTCCTGCTGTTCGAATCGAATTGCAAACAGCGAATCGAATCGTCAGTATAAAACCCGCGCGACGAGAATGATCCTGCTGAGGAGGTCCTGGATTGTATTGTATCTCACAATTTTCGACGTGGGTACAAATTTCGGGCGAACCTCCCTCTACGCATCTGAAACGTGTCTTCCCGTTCCCACAGATATTTCGATCCCTCTATGTTCTCGCTATTTCGCTCGACATCGAGATTTTCAGCCTTTGAAGTATTTTTTTTTCTAAATTAATAATTAATTTTTATTTTATTATTGTGATAATTTTTATTACATTATTTTTCATTCCATTTATTATATTATCCTTATCATATTATAATAATTTTAATAATATTCTTGAATAATTACATAATAATTCTCCCTATATGGCCGATGACCGATAATTATAATGCTCTCTCACGATATTTGTATTATTTGCGATACTATTCATCAATCAATTTACTACATATTGTCACTTGTCATTCTCGTATTTAACTCTTATTCACCTCGTGTTTCTGACATCGGACAACGACAATAAACCGTAGGAATATCAGATTTAATCTCGTAGAAAAGCACTGAACCAAAAAAAGAAAGACCGAGATAATTCGATTCAAGAGGCCGCTCAATCGGCGTATGTTAATCGATCGCCTTTGGTTTTTATCCCGCGTTCTCGGAAACGCGCGACCGATCAACTCGCGATCTGTGACGTCGTACGTGCGATTTAAATCATGAGCGTCCCGCGCAGAGCCGCAAGGCGATGGCGAGAGGAAGACGGAAAGGGAACTGTCGGGAATTCCAATTCGCTGACTCGCGTTTTTCGCTCCTCGTCTCACGACGAGCGAAACGAGACTGCGGAGAGCGAAGAGTTACGTAACCGTTTCGTGCGCGCGCGATTTACATTAAGGAGGTACTGCCAACGATGTGGCGTGGCGTGGCGCGCCGTTATTGATCTCCGGTATTGTCGGACACATCGGATCGACCTAGGAATTTTGCCGCAAACCACCGCCAGTCGCCCGGCAATTACATAACCGTCGACCGTCTAAGGATAGACACAGTGCGCTTCGCTGAGCGCGGAATTCAGGAGTGTTTCCTTCTTGATCACGTTTATCGGACAGAGTCCCTGTAATAAGAGCCTGGACATCGTCGCTGTGGCCGCCATTAAGACCAGAAGTTCACAGCCGTAATACGCAGAATGTTCAAATACTATTAAAATAGATGCAAATCAAAATATATTAATAATTATCACATGAAATACACAAACTCTTCTCTTAACACACTTGATAGACTTTGTAGATGACAAATCTACGACTTTGCTTATGTTGTCATTCAGCTCATTACTTTGGTTACACAGAGTAAAAGAATAAGCTCCCACAGCTAAAAACTGGCTACCATAGGTAAAAATTAGCTGTCCATATGACACAACCGAAATTTAGTTAATTTAGCTGACTCTTGTCCCTATCTTATCTTTTAGTTCCCACAACTGAAATTTAGTTATCTGACCTCATTTGGCCGTGAGAGCTAAAAACTAAGCACAAGGATAGAGAGAACTAGCTAAATTAATTAAATTTTAATTGTATTATTTAAGCAGTTAATTTTTATTTCTTTTTACTTTTTTACTTTAGAGCTAGTTTTTAGCTATAGGAGCTGTTTCTTTCCTTTCCGTGTAGACCTGTGTCAACTTTTGCCTCTTGCTGGAAGACAACCTTTGACATATCCCAACCGGAAGCTACACCCAAATATGGAGCCAATCAGAAATCACACATATGGTGTCCAGACACTTATTATAGGGACTTCATTATCGGAGGACTCTCGGCGTCCTCGATCGATTCCGCATTCTTCCGTCTTTCTCTTTTTGCCCCCGCTCCTATTCTTTAATGACTTCACCATGTTCATAGTGTAACATCGTGTCGTTAATTCCACGTCGTTAATCTCTCGCCACCGGTCGAGTCGCGCGACCTGATTGATTTCCGCGCGCAGATTGCTATTGTCGCGATCTGAGAGAGATCACCAGCCGATGACCGAATCGGACAGTAAAATGCAGAGTCGTCCGTGGAATAAGACTAATTAATGACCGTCCGTTCTCTCCCCGGCCGACGTAATAGACGCATCGGCGTGATCATGGCGTCTGTTACTCGCGGGTTCATAAATTATGCAACGTGAAATATAATCATTC